TATAAAAGTTGTTAATATAACAGGAGCTGATATCTTTAAGCATTCCATTATTAACGCCAATGTCACAGTATTGTATGTGAACCAATCTCGACGTTTAAAAGCTAGAGTTTCTATTGGTGAATTCGATATAACGACTAAAAATAATTCTTATGCTTTATTGAGATATTGTGCTGATATCGTTATACTTATTCTTTTTTCTTCTAAAGTGCCAAAATGGCATTTGGTCCGCACTACTTTTTGTTTGCATAAGTCTGAGGTAAATTTGTTTTTTTTTTTGACGGGGAAGTACCATGAACAACCGGATGCAATTGGAAGTATATACTTTTGCGTTTAGTGGTGGGTAAGGTGGGTGAGGTGTCTTAGATGTCCATTGGTGGTGGTTATCACTAACACCAGATGAACCGTTTGCTCGCTTAAGAACTTTTCTCAAAAAAAAAAATACATTACTTTCAGTAAGGAAAAGGAACAAAATAATTATTTATTTATTTCGTTCAAATCCAGGTTACATTACAGTCATGAACAAGTCTTTAGAATCTTTTAGTGATGCTAAAAATATCTGCTTTTCTAAAATCTTTTCCCATTATTTATAACTACAAATCTTACATGAATGAAAGTTTATGTAATTATAAATATATAAATTATGTATGTGTAGAATTACATTATTAAATTCATAACGGCAGCAAAAACGAAAAAACATTGTGTTTATTTTTTTACGCGTCGTGTAATTATAATTAGCATCTGACAAATACTCACCGATTTAAATTATTCCTTATCACATTGTTTTTAAGAAAAGAACAATCAACTGTTATATTTATATCAACTGTATTACAAATCTTGATTTGTATTAAAAAATAATGGTTTGTTTGTTCTGTTATTAAAAACAATGTTACTTACAGTAATACATTGGCAATTGTTAGAGCTATTTAATTTAAGTATAACGGATACGAGGTCGATATTTTATTGAAAAATGTCATAGCACGGAATCGAATAGGGTCACAGTTTTCTTACTTTGTGCCTTAGATAAGGTATGGTTATCGTTTTCCCTTATCAGATTAATTTATTAGGGGCTCCGTGCTTTAGGCTTCGTAATTGAGTGTCAGGCTCACTCGTTGACTTCACATTTCGATATCATGTAATGTGTTGTCTGCTCTCATTTCACCTTATATGTAAGATACATTCTGTAAATTAGTATTAGTTATTATAATTACATTATAGTATTAAATGGGAGTGTAGTACCCGTAGCGTTGCTTGCGGGTCTTACACTTCCTTTTACAATATCCGCCTAACTCCTCCGTTCACCAGTTCAGATTTGATTGCGTACTGCTTTTGAGGAGTATGTAATGGATACGTAATAATTGAAATTACTGTTCAAAATATTTTTTTACTTGTGAAAAGCATAATTATCAAAAGGAAAGTTTTACAATAACGCAAAAATGACATAAAGATTTGAAAAAAAAACGGTAATATTATATTGGCAAGGTGAACCTTACGTTTAGGGTTTTTAGGGTTCCATACCCTATGGGTTCACCCTACGGGTTCACCCTACGGTTCAGCTCTGTAGTCTTGGACTAAGAATAGGGCTAAGGTATTCTCTGCCTGTCGTAAAACGCGACTAAAAAGGGACACGGATTGGCAGCAGCACGAAGTGGTTTCGAGCTACTCCAAGATAGCCAGGTAATATGGGAAGGTTTATCCTTCTCCGAAGCGTGCTCGTACGCAGTACCGAGGGACACCAGTGCGTTTCATAGGAGATCCCGGAGTCCCTCCAAACGAATCGAGGGGGTTTTGTTGGGTAAGAACCCTATCATGTAAGGTGATATCTTTGGAAGAAGAGAAAGGGCTCCGTACCCAAAGCGTTAAATGGCACCCTATTAGTAAGACTCCGCTGTCTCTTGTTACCAGGCCGTATGTCATGAACCGTGATAGTTAGACGGCTGGAATTTTCACAGAGGATGTATTTCTGTTGCCGCTATAAAAACAAATATAAAAACCAGAATAATATTTAAGTGTGGCTCCCATACAACAGTCATTATTTTTTTTGCCATTTGCATAGAAAATGGTACGGAACCCTTCGTGTGCGAGTCCGACTCGCACTTGGCCGACTTTTTTACACAGATATATATTTTAGAAATTTAAATTTTTAATAGTGCTAATCTCTGCACTTAAGATTTAACATTAAAATTTGTAGAAAAAGTACGAAAAGATTGTCGCCGCTGTGGGAATCGATCCCACGTCTTCGGCATTCGCGGCCTGACGCTTTAGCCACTAAGCTAAACGGCTGTCCCACAGCGGCGACAATCTTTTCGTACTTTTTCTACAAATTTTAACACATTAATATTGATCAAATATTATATAACTTCAATATATTGCAGCCGTTGCATTCTTAAAGTGAGTGCGAGGCATCTTAAATATTAGAGAATTACTTGGGAGAGTTCACAGGATGCTCTGGGTGTCTTTTGTGATCTTTCCAAGGCTTTCGATTGCGTGAATCATGAAACACTGATCAGGAAATTGCGCCATTATGGCATTAAAAGTACCGCGCTTGACCTCATTAAGTCATATCTATCTAATAGAATTCAAAAAGTTGCAATTAATGGTGCTAGTTCTTTTGGGTCGACGGTATCTATGGGCGTTCCGCAGGGCTCCATTCTCGGCCCATTTCTCTTTCTCATTGACATTAATGATCTTCCTATTTTTATTTTTTTATGTATTTATTTTTATTTGCCGATGATACATCATTAATTTTTAAAATCAATCGACAGCTTGTTACACTTGACGAGGTAAATAATGCTATGTCAGAAATAGTCTATTGGTTTAATACTAACAATTTACTATTAAATGGTAATAAAACTAAATGTATGAAATTTTCAACACCTAATGTTAAACATTTGGGTGCTACCAATGTACTTATAAATGGGGGGGAGTTAGGCCTTGTGGATACGACTGTCTTTCTTGGAATAACTCTCGATGTAAAGCTTCAATGGGGTCCCCATATATCCAAACTTGCGAATAGACTAAGTTCTGCAGCGTATGCTATAAGGAAAATAAGATGTCTAACTGATGTAAAAACGGCTAGAATTGTGTATTTTAGTTACTTCCATAGCATAATGTCATATGATATTTTGCTATGGGGGCATGCGGCCGATATAGAAACAATTTTTATTTTGCAAAAAAGGTCTATAAGAGCTATTTATAATCTAGATCTGAATGCATCTTTGAGAGAGAAGTTTAAAGAAATAAATATATTAACCTTAGCCTCTCAATATATATATGAAAATGTTATGTATGTGCGTAGAAATATTAATAATTTTGATAAGAATACTGATATACATAATGTGAACACCAGGAACAAACACAAGCTTGTAATGCCAGTTACTAGACTCCATAGAGTAAGTAACTCGTTCATGGGGCGGTGTATACGCTTTTACAACAAAAAATCCCAGTAAATGCGCAAAACCTGCCTATTAACAGGTTTAAGAAATTTATTAAAGAAAAACTTTATAAAAAGGGTTATTATAATACAAATGAATACATTAATGACAATAACCCCTGGGAATGAGTTGATCGCTCCCAAGCTATTTCTAAAAGGAAAAAAATCAGTTGTATAATTTTTGAATTTTTTGTTAAGAAATAACAAATAATTACAAAAAAGAGAATACCTACGGAGTTTCTTTCGCCTGTTTCTTCCCCGCTAGAGGAACCTCATTACGAAACGGTGGTAGATTTAAAAAAAAAATATGACTTGATAAATGAAATGTAAGTTTCTTATGTCGATTAATAAATGATTTTGATTATCGTTTTGCTTTTTTTTTGGTAAATCGTGTATTTTGGAAATTACATTTAGATACAAATTACTGAGTAATGAAATATGCATAATATTTTTAGATCTTACCGACGTAATAATAAGAAAATATGAACTGATGTTTTTCACAAAAGAAAGAACTTAAAAAAAAAGGGAAAAAAATAACAAATCGACAAAAAATTAAAAATAAAGAAAGCAATGATCTGGAATCGAAAAAAAAGTAAATAAATAAATGTGTAAATGATCGTGACGCGAACCACGGCCGTCTGTTTTGGGGGCCGCCCGATTACCAACCGAGCTATTATGACATTTTCTCTTGCGGCGAAATTTAGCGTCATATTCGAATTATATTTTTCATTCCCTGAAAACAGGGATAAAAGGACATTTTATAAAAATGAAACCTACCTGGATCGATTTTTCGCCCCCGAATCTATGCATATACTAAATTTCATGAAAATCGCTGGAGCCGTTTCCGAGATCCCGATTATATATATATATACAAGAATTGCTCGTTTAAAGGATAAGATAAGTAAGGATAAAAATAAGCATTTATCATGCATTTGGTTATTTGAAGTGCACCGACGACATAACTGACCTATCTCGTCAGTGATGCCACAATCACTTTAATCTTCTGTGGATCCCATATAACTTTACTTTTGTTTTTAATAATATACCACCTTATAAACAGATACACTATATGTTGAGTAAAACAGTGAAAAAATGCTGTACACGTTAGTATGAAGTTTTAATTAATGTGTTATTCAACCCAAAGATTCCTTTGTTCTTAGAGCAATTACAGATAGGAAAATATTAAGGATTAAAAAGCACAGGCTTTTCTAGTGTGCTTTAGATGAAAGCTTTATTAGCATACGCTTTTGAAAAATACCAGTTACGCATGCTTTGTTTGAAAAATGGGAGAATGAACACGGATTATGTTATTCTTAATAATTTTCATCATTCTTTTGGAGAGTATATATTTTCTTTTTGCCTACATTTGTAGTTATTTATATTAAGATGTTAATATAATTTGTTTTTGTATGAATTACCTGTACGTTATAAATATAATTTGCATCACACAACACTAACGTAACAGAGGTAAACACTTAACAGTAATAGGATCGTGTAAAATACACAAACGGCGCGCGGCGACAATAAAACGTGCATGTTTACGGGTACAGATTTTCCATTAGTTGTATTACATGGGAAGTGCGGCCCTTTCTCTCGGCGTCTTTACGTCGAATGTGTTCGTTTTAATGCGACGCCATTCGCGATACAACAACGCCCTCGTGCTAAGTCGCCGGTCGAGTGGGTGCGGCGAGCAAGCGGTCCAGTAAACGGTCGAGTGCTGTCGTCGCGAGATAAGAGGTGAATTGGTGAACGGGCGTTGGCTCCGCCGAGCTGGCTCGCCCCGTCCAGTCCAGTACGCTCCGGCGCTTCGTAACGGAAGGACGGCGCGCGCGCAGCACGGCCCGAACGCCAGTGCTATTCACAATTCCGCCTATCACGGAAAACTGCGCCTATTCAAAGTCCGATATTGTATTCAATAACGGCGCGATACGGGCTCGCGGCACACATGTGCACGATCGAATCCTCTACGGCCGAAAACGTTTACAGTATCGACATTATCTATGTGGGCTGCCGTGATAAGTGTTGAGTGTTATATTGTTTCGGCGTCCTAGTCCCATCGGACAGCGTCCGTCGCCAGCGAGCGTCTCACGGCAGTGTCGGATTTAACTTTGTGAATGAGTCAGCTAACGGGCGTTGGGATCGTTAGCTTTGTCAACGTGCTGCCTACGATATCCGAAGGTAATGTACGTTTCGCGTCCATTACGAAATTATGCTCCGAGTAGCCCGCCCAACGCTGGACGTGACAAAATATTTATCAAATGACACACCTAATAACATTCCATTAGTATATGCCACTTACACATTAGTTAATGCCAATACACACAGCAATTATGGTCTTATTTTCTTTTAAGATTTATTCAATATGCTTTTCCCTTAACAAGCATGCATTTTAATGAGTGTGTTTTGAAATTATCAGCTCGATACATTCAATGCAATGAAATGGAACATTCTCCAACATGCTGCGGTTGTATAAATACGTTCGTTCTTTACCATTATTAACACGATGATATTTGCTTAACTGCACTCGTAGAGTATTGGGGCATATCTCTCTTCGGTTGCATGCCTCCGTCTCGTAGATTTTATCTCCATGATCAAATCTCCGTGTGGAGTGCACGCTTAATATTTCATACACGCTAGCGACGGTGCTCGTTAATTAATCACAATAAATATTATTAACCACATTTTTCGCCACACTAATTAGGTGATTGTGGAAAATTTGCGTCATACTATGGTAAAGATAAACGTGGGCCGTTTTAAATCGATAAAATATGACAATTATTTTTATGATAAAAACCTTTTAGTGAAGCTGTTGCACACATACTTATTTATGAATACGGTCGATATTTAGGAATTTAATTTAATAGTTGGGAATAGCATTTTTAAATATTAAAGGTTCGACCTCCGAATGCGCTACCTAGTAGTAATAAAATTAAGTTCATTTACTTCCCCGAGACTTGATCCGTTGTTTAAAATACTAATGAAGCTGTAACATTGAAGCAATTTTTTGTCAACACTAACGCCGTAACACCAAATCAGAACAAAACGTGTATTGTGTGAAGGCCTTTCAGTTTTTATCGCCTTTTTTGTTTACCAATACGAATAACAGAAGCTTATGAAGTTTAGCTTTCGGCAATCTATCTCGCTTTGTGCGTACTATAAAGTGTAGTGCCATGTTTCATTATCGTTAAATTTATGAAGCTTAATTTACGATTTACGTTTTTATTAACGTAAAGTATACGATGTCTTTGGCCCATTTCACTTGACGTTATAACAGTGCTTTCGGTCTTTAAACGAACTTAGAACTGGCAGTTGTTATAAGCGACTAGCTGAAGTGTTGGTCGTTAAAGTTACCGATTTCTATCGTGTAAATAACTTTGCTTACGACCCTGTTCCGAGAATAGTGCCGTTCTCTGACATCCGAATGTGCGTTTTGTACACTGCGCTACTTGTCGAACCCAAGGAAGGCGAATGTTGTGTATTTATTGTCTATCATGACACACATACGAAATTTCTTTAAAAACTAAAATAAATAAAAAATAAAATAAACGCCAGTGCGTTTGCCATCGTGAGGGGTAAGCACAGAATACAGATATATCGTTAGCCTTTTACACGTTCATATGTCGCGAATTCGCAGAATTACAAACAAGAATTGTATGTATTGTAAGAGAAACCATGTTGCGGAAGGTTGATCTCCCTCATCTATCACCAAACAGGTCGACACACATGACTTAGGGGCGCTCCACCGACTTTGCCACGCACACACTGGTGTAAGGGCGCTATTCAGTAATGACCCTTAATAGGCGTAGGTTAGGGACCATTTCCGTGTGAGATGTGTATGTCCCTCGGGCCGTCGTTTTGGATGAATCAGAGCGTGAAAAGCCCCGCGACCTTGGTCGGCCATCCGCCAGCCGGGCCAGTCGGCACTCGTCGCCGGCGCAGGTGTGGCAAGCGTCGCGCCGTTGTCGGGTCAACGACCGCCCCGGATACGAATGATTGATCCCCCCCACCCATAGACTATAGAATTCAGTTTGCACTAATAGTATTTAATTTTAGTTTAAAAACATAGTGAAGTAACGGCCTATATATGTCCCACTGCTAGGCAAAGGCCTCTGTACAGAGGGCATAGTTCGCCACGTGGCCGCACTGCGGATTGGCTAACTTAACTTATCTTCGAAATATTTTTTTGTTCCACCCGTTTTTGTAGTCATTGGGATTTTAATGCGTCTGTCAAAGTTTAGAATTATTCGGATGTCTGAGGAGGAATAATGAATAATTCCATTCCTTTTATAATACATAATTTAATAATTCCGTTTAAGCACAAGAAAAAAGCTTCGTAGTAAGTTGCCGAGAGAGCAAACAATAACTACTTCAAAGACACTGACCTTCTACAGATTCGTTATTTCAATTCTGTATTATCAAATTCGAAAAGATTTCTTCCATCATTATTACGATACATAATTATCTCGGTTTAAAACCACTCCGAAATCATCGAGTTTAATGTGAATTAATTGGTAGACGATGTCTTGCTCCATAATCTGGTTAAAGTTACAGTGCACCTATTTTTTCAGTAATTGCCGCTGTTTTTTTTTTTCTGTAAGATTAGACAGTATTGTCAATAATCGATTTTACGTTATTATTTTTGAACGAATAAACTATAATAATATTTGTATAAATAAATAAGTATTTGTAAACTGCACACTACATAATTTATCTACTAGTGAACAGTCACAAAATAAAAAAATATCACTCAAACCATTCATACAAAGATTAAATGAATTTATCTCTTCTCGTCATTTTTACTCCGCGCAAAGGTCACATGGGGGGAAAAAAGGAACGGCGCACAGGAGTAACAATTAAATCGTGTACAGTTAGGCTTCATTATGAAAGTAGAATATGGCGCTTGTAGCTATGAGGCGAAGATACAGTGCTACCTCATTACGTTGGGAATGTCTGGGTCGCTGCTTTTTTGTTTTGGCTCCGTAGTGGCCGTGGAAGTCGCCCCACAGCATTCGCCTCTACTCGGCGGGACACGGCGCCGGCTAGTTATTCCGCAAGCGATTATCGTGCGATTTATTTTTGTAATTCTCCAACTGCCCCTGAATATAAATTTATGTTTAAATGCTACTTTTTCTGTTAGCGTCTCGGCCTTACGTGCATACTTGTTCACGATAACCAGTCGCGTTTGGAGCGATGCTCGCTTAAAATTTGATGAAATCAACACGCTTTGTGTGTGACCTCGATTAAACGAAATGAGGTCCACTGGAAGTATAAACTTCGCAAAAATAGTTATTTGTTGATCGAAATTCTTGAGATTTGGCTCAAACTAATGTCAAAGACGATTTTTAACTTAATGCTGGGTTCAATTTCTTTAAAATCATAAACTATCAACCGATTATATATGATTAAATTACATTATGTTTTTGAGAAACGGGTAAGGGTTTGCCCCTGAAACACTAAGTCGCTTGGTCTTGACAATAGTTTTTTACATTTTAGACTAACGACTTCGTTCGATGCAATCAATCGTAAATGACCTAATGATAGCATCATAAATACATAAGAGTAATCCATCCTACTGAATAATTTCATTATACAATTTCAAAATTAATCGTTTAGTCATTATTACGTGGAATTGTTTTTTAATTTCTTAACTAATGTTGCAAGGTTAATTGACAGTAATTCAATAGTGATTTTGATTTTAATACGAAAATAACCTACGATTTAAGGAACAGCGTGTATAACAACGTGCATCGTATTTCGCCTTATCTATAATATGTTCTATACCTTCCATTAGTGTGTGATTCGGAATGTGTTGATAGAAAAGGAATTATCATCACTAAAGAGCCTCGAGAGATCGCAAGATAACCGCCAGTCGTTTCCACTTCACGACATAGGTACACACGTCCGCTATTAAACTGTAGGAAGTCGTTTCGAATAATTACAGATAATTTTCAAGACGGCAAAAACTCGTATGAGCGACTGTAAACGCGGTAAGATTTGCACATATCTCGTTTAAGACCATGATGTGCTTCCTGGAGAAAAAGTTGACTAATCGAGACTCCATGCCTTTATACGGCGCGAATATGAAGATAAATCATAACACTTCTATTGAAGAGTTGCTGTCGTGTGCACGACCTCAATATTTATATACAATAATCACACTTTACGCGCCAAAAGGTTCCACGTATACTTATGACACAAAGCACAGCTCTCCACCGAACTGGCTCAACGCGTGATCGAGGATTTTATCTTTATGCCCGTATATAAATTAATCTGTAATGCCAGCGGCATTATGCTTTACAACACCGAAACTGGATTCGGATTTTTAGGACGGGTTTATGATTGCGAAGCGGTTGCACCGGACTTAGTACCGTAATATATGTATGTATGCCACAATTATCTACAGCGAAACTTAGTAAATCGACACTTTGTAAAGCAATGAAGACGCATTTGTGCTCTTGATTTGCTTTTGAGTGTGTCCGTATAGTATATTGAATTTGTAATAAATGGTGTGTGATCCAATGAAGAATTGGCGCATTTACTAAGCCATAAAGCTATCCGGAGTTCCATCCGGAACAAGTTTTTGTATGAACACAGCTGAGTATTAGTCCTTGTTTACTTTGTGTTTGTAAACGTATTTTGCCCATACAGGTTTACCTTCTGTCTTTAAAATAAAGAGAAACAATAGTATAAATGGTCTTTATTCGGGCTACTAAGTCGATACTTATTTTTAAAAAATAAAACTGACCTTTCTCCGTTCAGCCCGTAGACAATTAAAGCTTCATCGAACGCAGAACTCGTGGCATAGCCAGATTCCTCGAGCAATTTTCTTTTACATATAGCTATTATAGCTATTATGTATTAAATTATCGGTTCGGAGCGTCCAAGTCGCTTTGTTCGGGACTCGACAGTATTCGCAAGCGCACCAACGACCCAAAAACAACAAACCGGTCGGGACGGGAATTCAATCGCAAGACACAGCTGTGAAGGCAGGTACCCTGTCTAAAGAGTCGGTCGGCCGCCGCGTTGCCAAAAGGTTGCTTTTGAAATTATCAAGGAACCATCTGAATGGTTTATAATATTCCACCTGCAATAGGAGTCAAAATAATAAGATTGTAGTGTAGTAGCGACAACACGTTAATGTAGTTGGGGAAATATGTTATGAAACATTTGAATTTGCTTTTTGTATATTTTCATAATAATATTTAAATGAATATGGTATGATAATCCTCATCACAAATGAATATATATAGAATAGAAAAAAAAGGCCGCATTCACCGCAATATATAGGTATATTAATTTTAAATAGAGCTTTTAATACCTAATTAATAACTTAAATTAATCTTAGTGTTATCAGTTGGCATAAATGTTAGTCTAAAGTTGTTGGTAGTTTGGTGGTTTAAAGATAATTGACGATTTTTGCTGTGTTAATGGCATAGTTTCGAAATTTTAGACTATGCACGTATTTCAGTGTCCAGATACAAAAAAAATACCGTCGTTCAAATTAAATTCATAATGTATATCATTAATCATAATATATATAATGTAATCAGAGATAGTTTCGCTGCCTTAGGTTGTACGGTGACTCAGTTGAGAACGGTCGAATTATAACGCTCGCACAAAGGCTCGTTAAGTCTCGATCGGGTGCAGTCGGCTGGCGACCTCGAACCTGTGACCCTGCTCAAAATGCGAACAATTGTAATGTTGATGCGGATTTGAGCCGCCGTGCAAGCCGCAATGTGGTACCGTTTGTTATTCAACCTAGCAATCGACAACACGCTAACTAAACTCTCGAGAGAATGTCGGAATAAGTCTGAGAGACATAGAATACACAGAATACGCTTTATAAAATTAATTACTTATATTAAAACTCCGGCCAATAGTATGGCCGGAGTTTTACGTTATTGTAAATTATAATATAAATTATCATATTTACTATAATCGAATGCCAAGCAATAAATTTTTAGTTAATACTGTAACTAAGTAAATACGTAGTTAATATAATGTAACGTTACTGGGAAATAACTGCCATTATGCATTGCCTATTAAAACAGCCTTAGGACACAATAAAACTGGTCACCATAAAACTATGCACGAGGCAGTTGAAGAAATATAATTAATGTGAACCATTAAAGCGGACAGAGGCAAGGAATAACGTTTAGAGAGATATTTGAACGCGCCTCACGAAAGGCAAGAAAGCGAGACCGTTCGCATATTTAGTGCTATTCAAGATTTATATCGTCTCTTTTACGAATAAACCAAGTATCTTTAAATTTATGAGATTACAATTTTTCTTTTGATCCTCTTATTAGTATGAAGCAGTTGTTCTTATCACGGAATCTTTATGACAACGTGTAGTCTCTAGAAAGTATAACCATTAGAATTATTATTTTTTACCTTTAGAAGTAATTACCAAATATGACAATATTTAGTAATTACTTATAAAGATACAAAAATAATTATTTTATTTTCTATTATTTTTCATAATTCTTATAAAACAATCGCTTCTGCACTAATTTTTTTAGTGCAGAAGCGATTGTTAGTTGTTAGTTAATCAGACCAGTAAATTAGTTCTAGATCTTCTACCTTATCATCTATAAACGCAATGTTAATACATCTCTTAAGTTATATAAACTTTTCAAGTCTTACAAATAATGTATATACCTAAAAGCCTTTGTAAATTTGCCATGTTTCAGAACGTGTAATGTTTTTGACCTTGGTATGATAATTATGTCATATGACTGCTAGAGAAATGGACCTAAAATAGGTTTTACCACGAAGACACGTTTATGATTTTAAGTCTTGACGAGTACTGAGAAGATGATTGGTTTAAAAATATGTTTCAATATTAACATATAATATTAACAATATAACATATTTTATTAACTCGTTTAAATCGCAAATACACGTGCAATGCACGCGTTAGAAGACACGGAAGAGATAAATAATATCTCTTCCGGAGCTGGCCCATTATATATTACTCTATATTCCCACATTACATTGTGTTGTTGAATTTGTTTGATTACCATATTTCATCGATCGCTCTTAACAAACACGCTTTCTTTAAATTTTAGAACGTAATCCATTAACATTACAACATAATATATTTGATCGGCAATTCATCAGTTTGTTTATTTCACACAAATCAGAAAGGAGAGATACATTTCCCACTCGATACCATTACGTAAGCCGTTTCGATTTATTCGTCCGTTACGAAACTTCGCACTTACATAAACATAAAGGGCTTCTGATCGGTGTTCTCTTGGCCGATTCCTTGGATGATTCATATGTTCACCAACATCGCAGAACCAACACCGCTGACTCACCGATTTGCACGGGTTGAGTGACGCAATTTGAGGTGGAGTTTCAATGTGGAAGTGCCATTTACCGTATTTTTGGTGCCACTGCTAGATCTTTGATTGTTGCGGGAACATAAGCGTTAGAACTGTCCATATGTAAAAAAATTCTCTTGTCTGAACAGTGTTCTTAACACTAGACACAAGGGCGTTTATGAAAGAAAAAAGAAGACTAATTTGGCGTATAACTCTAGAGCAATTAATGCCTGCCTGCAGATGTTATTTAATGAATACAAAGTAATGAGTTAACTATGCTCTAAACAATTTCCTAGTTTATAATGAATCGCGTCGTAAGCGAATTTCGAAACGCATTCTTGGCAAGAATTCAAGTTTTCTTAGATTACGGATTGCATCGGCGTTTATATTTTGTTTTGGCACAGTTAGATAATATCCTGATATTCTTTTAAATCTTAATCATTAAATAAGTCGAATTAAATTCTTGGGTATTTAGGTATTACTTCGTTTATCAAATAATACATTTTTTTAATGAATAATGTGGCTGCTGGGCGGTTCATCTGATTTTGTATCACCCGTAAGGTTACATATGCGTTGCCACCTTTTAATGAAGTTGCCCCAGTTGTTGGTTATCTCATTCACCAGACGAAACGCACAAGTATACCACTTCACGCTGGTCTTCTGCGAGGTTGTGGTTCTTCCCAGAAGTACTGATGCGTGGCTCTACCACACTTTAATTTTATTCACATTAAAACTTTGAAGTAATATTGCTCAGAAATGTTATGGACTGTACCTAGTTGTTTTTCTATGAAATTTCCTTGATGAAATATTTCACTTGTGTTACTTCATTGAAATTACTTGAAGATAACTCTTGTAAATCATTTGTTTTTAAACCAAAATAAAACTTTTTAAAATCCGTGTAATGGTTTCATTTAACACGGAACAGATTGCGTTCGCATTGCGGAAACTGGCGTTCGTTACGATATTATAAAGTGAAACATTGACTTTGTCCAATAGATTAGAGCTAGTCGGCGTAATCTAATTGCGATCAAACTTCCTCGTACGGGATTCGATCCATTCGAATAGCAATTAATTTGTACCGTCTCACGACTGTTGATTAGGCATAGGAGTATTGTATCACGTGCGTTTGTTTCCTCGAGCTGGAGATATGATTGCGAAACCGTTCTTCTTAAAGTGTAACCTTTGTAATGGGCTCGTTAGTTACGTTCGGCGGTTGTTATGTAACATCACAACTGTTTATTCAATTGAGTTGTGAATGGCTGAAAGTTACGAGAAAAACGCACAGTGCTGGACCGCCAACAATTTGCGTTGATAGTGGCGTTATGAGCATTTTAAAGTATCGGCAAATAATTTAATCGAGTTTAAAAAAAAAAACGAATATTCTCGGAATCTGGTACGGTCCGTATCGTCTACTTTATCTGGCTGAAGCAGTATTATAATTAATAAATTTACCAAAATTAATTTACCGGTCTTCCATTTAATCTTATTCTACTTTTGAAGTTAATATAAAACAATCGTAATACTTCTCAACTTATGGTAATAAGAACATTATTGCCTTGTCACACATTAAACCCAATCAATGGTTTAATGTATAAAGCGATTTATATATGAATTAGGTTTGTTTGTTTGGAAACACAAAACTATTTAAAACAGCGGATGAGATAAATATTCGAAACCGGCGGGAACCATACAGACTTGTACGTTGTTGTAGACTTGTAATCCTAGAATGATAAAATATGATAGAAGCTGTCTCTTTATGTGTGTGCATATATATAACGAGATACCTAAGGAATTTAAAATATTAAATACTAGGTTATTTAGAATTAAACATTATAATTGGTTAATCGATAATAGTTTCTACAATATTCATGATTTCATGTCCAAGAAATGTTAAAGTACAAATATTTAATTATTTTTATATTTGCATGCTTCGTAATGTCGTGGCAAGACATGCCGTTCTATATCTAAGTTTGTAACATCTCTAAATGTTTTTATATGTAAATAAACGTTATGATTATTATTGTTATTATTATTATGCAATGGCTGAATAGAGAGAACGCCGAGCGGAGAGTGAATGCACCGGTTTGTTTGGTGGCCACAGTCTCCGTGGGTGGAATGGCACGCGGCCGCTGCGCCCGCGCACCGCGTCGTCGCAAGGTCGACGAACGACTTTCGCACGCTCGCCCCGAGGCACTAACCCTTCGGAGACCCGGTTTCCTCACGCCGCGACACCGCACCGCCAATACCGCACCAATTGCGATGCGATAGAGCTCATTTCGGCTCGCCCGTCTCGATCTGAACGCGGCAGCATTCAATTTACTCTATTAAAAGTTCTAATGCCCCTCCATCTGCTTTCCATATGATGCATAGCGCAATGTCGCGCCTATTTGTATCCCGGCGGCATGTGTTGTGGACGCCGCGATTAGTCATCGTAATACAGATGCCACTAGAACGAAGTGCTTGCGATTTATTTTGGGAACTATTGATAACGTTAGGGCAGACCGTTTAGACGGCGTTATTTTGGGCTGTAAACAAAATGGACATTTACGGTTGCTTCGCGGATCGCTTGGCTAATTACATCCGGCGTGAATTGCCATTAAAATACGAACGATGATCTATATTTATTTATTGAATAATCATCCTGTTCGTTAACTAATTATTTCTTATAAACACCGCTATTGATCAGTATCTATTCTAGCAGTTTCAAAATAGGACATGATAAGAATGTTTGGTATTTCGTTGGTTTTGTAAATAATTGATTTGTCGTACTGTGCATATTATTTCTTCTCAAAGCTTAATGTTTCGATCTGTAGTTATATGCAGTCTCAATCGAGGATTGAGCATATTCGTGGTTTTTGAATATTTGTTTTGGCGCAACCATACGTTTTATGACATCAGAGATTACGTTCGTAGGCGTTGAACTTGTTGAGTCGCCCACGTTTTTCTTTAGAGTTAGTGCTCAATTTGCTTATGTCGTAATATGTTAGAAGGATTATTGTTTGAAATGCTGACATTTCGCTTTTAGAGTCGATTCAAATGAGGATTGAAAGTGTGAGTATTATTGTAGGCAGAAATTGTTTGGTTTGTCAAGCCTGTCATGTACATTAAGTTTACCAACAGAACTAAACCAATGTCACGTAATTGTAGCGCTGTCTTCGTAGCTTCTAATGAATATTTTACCATAAATATTTTTAGAAGCTACACCAAAAAAAGAAAAAGAAGTTAAACCAAAAAGTGGTAGTTGAAACAAAAACACAACGAAAAAGGTTCGTGTGTCCATTTCGTATGATGAATGGCTAGATGTAATGATAAACGCGAAAAAAAAAAAGAGATGTGTTTCTATGAAATGTAAAGCCTCATTTTTCTAAATCCACTGGATAACACGAAGTGAGTATGCAAGAAGATAGATTGTATTTATGTTTTTAAATACATCACGAACGTATTTCGCATGTTTTCCTCATTCCTACGGCCGACGTTTCGCTGGAAGAGCGTTTATAATCTGTCGGCCATATAGATGTGTGTCAACTCTCCGCTTGACGGGCGAGTGTCGCGTGGGCGCTTAAAATGAGTTCAACGGACAATCCCGGCATGCGGAACTGTCATATCTGAGTCCCGTTCGCTACCCAATTTTATTGTTGCCGCGCCGTTTGATTGAACCCTTTATTCGAGTTTCAGTGGCCTCGCTTCGAATTCTAGTTCTTTTATTGCCCCATACGCCTTTGTGACGGAGCTTTTATGGCTTTCTCGGCTTTGCGCGACGCTCGGTTCTTCGTGACGTCGTATTAAATTATCTTCAACAATTCTCTCGTCTGGAGTTCAGACAAGTTTTGCTCTGCGAAGTTATACTCTGTCGTTGTCAAGGACATATTGATGATGATATCAAAACTTAAGAAGGTACTTTGTCTCAAATCTTTCACCCAACTTAAAAAATTGAAGAAAACTCTCAATTCGGTTTTATGTTCCTTTTGTTATCTCTGAACTCGTCATTTATGACTTAATTTAAAAATATATTTTTGCTTAGGTTTAGGGTAGGTTTAGCTCCCATGTGTCACATCTCCATTTTAATTGTTTTTGTTCCTTGGAGATAAATCATAATAGATATATTGATATAGTAGTTTTTTTTTTAATTTATTAGGAAAGAGCTTTATCGCTGAGCGATAACAACGCCCTGTAGGGTTAACAAAAAATAATATAGTATATCAACACAACATTGCTTAACATCTATTACAAAATCAAGTTTTTCTTAAACTAAGTTCGGCAATCCTGGCCAGTATCCGAGCCTGATCTGATATCGGAACAGCCAGGATACTGGTCACAAAACCAACATTAAAATTTCGGGAGCCCATCAAAGACATTCTGAGATCTTGGTTGCGAACGCATTCCGTCAGTACATGGAGTACATCTTCAACGACACCGCAGTTATTACAATTTGGCGAACTCACCATTTTCATTAAGAATGCAAACTTATTCGACGGAATATGTCCCGAACGTAATCTAAGTAACATTTTTAGAATATTTCTGTTAAATTTAAATGTGTCTATCCAAGGTTGTTGGCACACCTGTGGTTGTATAGTTCGATACCAGATTCCTTTTTCACGCGATCTCTCATCGAAATATTCTTGCCAGTCTGATTTACACTTCGATTTAATATATTTAAAATAATCTGAGTAAAGAGGTACAACACTAAATGGTATGCCGTCTGCCGCAGCTTCTTTGGCGAGACGATCAACGTCATCGTTTTCTTTTAATTGAATGTGAGATGGAATCCACTGTAGTATCACCTTAATATTTTGAGATTTTAACTTAAGGATTGATTCGATAATCTTGTAGGCTATCGGTATACCTTTCCCATGAGAGGTACAGCGAGCCAAATGTTGTAATGAACTTTTTGAATCCGTCAAAATGACAATTTTTTTGAAATTAAGAGAGTAAATATATGACAAAGCTTCTGATATGGCAATTAATTCGATGTGCATGATAGAAATATCGGAATCTACCCTAAGTTTGGTGAAAATTCCTAAGGTCGGGTCTAGGAAGGCAGCACCACTTCCAGTATCGTTCTTAGAACCATCTGTATAAAGTCTGTAAAAAACCGTTATATTCTTGTTCAATAAAATGTAAGCATACAGATTTTAACACCTGATAGTTATATGTATGTTTTGGACGATCGACAGATGGAATTGTATAAGAAATGATATTATGAAGATCAATATTACTAACCCATGTTTCCAATGAAAATATTTCAGGTAGGACACCGACTTGCATGGGCATAGACTGTAGATATTCATGAGTATAAACAAGTAGTGGAAGTTTCTTACCTCTCCAATATCTTGAATTGCTGTACATATTTAGGTTATTAACGGAATTGATGACATTATTATTTAAATACGAGTTACACTTTAACCAAAACTTTCCAGCAAGATATTTCCGGCGGATTTGGAGAGGAGGGAGACTCAACTCATTTTCCATTACATGGATTGGGGTACTTCGTATAAAGCCGCCTATTACACGCAATGATTGATTTTGGACTTTATCCAGTTTTAGAAGAATATTTTTACTGCTATTATCGTATAATAAACTACCATAATCTATTCGGCTTCTTATAAGGGAAATATATAATCGTCTTAAATGTCTTTGATGGATACCCCACCCAGGACCGGACAATACTTTAAGGAGGTTTATAAACTTGCATACTTTTTTAATTGTTTCTTCTACATGTTTACTCCATCTTAGACGACTATCCAACCACAGTCCTAGGTATTTAACATAGCTTACAATTGTTAAGGGATGATTATCAATCATAAACTCAAAATTTCCTATAAACCCACCTCGTTTGAATATACAAATCTTACTTTTACTGGAGGAAATAGACAGTCCCAAGTTTGATAATATGTTATTAAGGTTCTGGCATGCTAGCTTTAAATCTTTAACTGCCAAATTTAGAGTTTTACGAGATATATATAATACTAAATCATCGGCATATTGAGAAATTTCAACGTTTTGAATGCTTTTACAAATATTGATTGTAGCTACATTAAATAAAAGTGGGGATAGAGGGTCTCCTTGAGCCAAACCTCTGCCTGTAGATCTAGTTATACCGTACCCGTCAAGTGAAATATTTAAATGTCTCTCCTTCAAATAAGACCAAAGGTAATTACATATTGTTGATCCAATGCCTAGAAGGTCCAAATTATTCAATAAAATGGAGACATCGACATTATTATACGCACTATCAATATCGAGAAAACAAGCTACAGTAATTAATTTTTTAGAGAAGCCTGTCTGAATATGGGATATCAAATGTGTGAGGTTATTCAAGCATGACCAACCTCTCCGGAAACCTACCATGTTTGGAGGAAACATAGAATCTTTTTCTAGATACCATTCCAATCTCTTATTCAGAATAGAGTGTAATATTTTGCACATCTCATCTCTTATGAGTGAAATAGGTCCGAGGGAACATGGAGAATTTGAATCTCTGTTAGGTTTAGCGATCGGAATAATCCTAACTTTACGCCATTGTACCGGAACAAATCCGGAGTGAAAAACCATATTATAAAATTTAACTAATATAATTTTGCCAGTGGCAGGTAGATTTTTGATCATAGAATAACTTATATTATCGACTCCGGTGGCTGTATCCGATTTTTTTATAGAGTTTTCAAGCTCCTGTAAAGTAATATCTGATTCTAAGTTAATGTTTATTGATTGAAAGATAGGTTGCGGTGGGCTCACGTAATCAGGAGTCAGATTATTTAGTAGGTTGACAATATTTTCTTTATTTATATAGGGATTGTTAGAATTCGAAACATTGGCCTTAATCCATTTCATTTTGTGCCACATTTCCGATGAGGAAGTGGTCTCATCGATAGACGAACAAAAGCACTGCCACGAACGACTCTTCGCTAACCTAATAAGTCTTTGAGCATTACGAATTTTCTCTTTTAATATATCTAAATTTTCTGGGCATGGATTACGTCTTAGGTTAGCCAGAGCTAGGCGTCGCTCAGCCACTGCTTTTGATAGTTCAGGATTCCAATAAGGCTTAGGGACAAACTTTTCACAAACCCGGTTCGGATATTTAATATATGGTATATATCTATCGGCAGCTGATTGTACTATATATTCAAAAGAATTGTAAAATTCTTGAAAATCTCCAGGAATATTGTAATTAATTACTGATTTTTCTATAAATAACGAGTAAGACATCCAATCGCTTTTTCTAAAATTTCGCTTCTTTATTAAACTTTATTTAATTACTATTG